TCTTCTATAGATCCAATGGCGGCAGCCCTAGCTAGTTTGAGTTTGTGTTTACAATTGTGTCTTAGAAGATGGCCTTTTGTAGTCCTCCTTCTTATTCTGGTGCTTGCTTTTTCCTGCCCCCATCCCTCTGTTTTCTGAGCTTTAGATGGAGGGCATGAATGTCTTGTTGGGGCTGAGCCTTCAACCATCGCATACTACCAGCACTGTAAGGAGGTCTCTGCATTCATTATCATCCACTAAGACAGGATTCTCTGATGAAGGGTCAAAATGGCATTTGTCAGGGCCTTGTGGGCTTGTCAGCTCTCTGTCAGTCATCGAGATGTCCTGGGCTTGGAAGATTCCAAAGGGAGTCCCGGTGTGGGCTTTTAAGTGATACAGAAGCCTTTGAGCCATTCATGACCTTGTAAGCAAACCCCTTCCTCCACCCCAGCTCATTGATTCAACACCTAGACTTGGGTGGAGTCATTTCTTTGGTCCTATCAAAAGCAGACAGACATCTTCTCACATATTCCCAGGGAAGTCCTGTGACATCATGACTGGTGCTGTGGCTGTAGCTACCAAGTGCTGATCCTGAAGAGACCCAGTTGAAAACCAGCAGGACCAGCCTCAGGAGAGAGGAGATAGGGCCCTAGAGACCCATCAGAAGTCCCAGACTACCACAGGGTGACCATGATGTCAAGGGGAGTCATTGTGCTGACCCTTGATCTGCTCAAAGGTGAAGGGCCACCAGGGAGCTAAACAAACAGCTGAAGCAGGGATGCTTGGCTGAGGTTGTTTTGTTTTGTTTTGTTTTTGTTTTTGAGGCAAAGGCTCATGTAACCAAGGCTGACCTCAAACTTACTATGTAACTGCCTTTAGCCTAGAATTACTGCCTCTGCTTCCCAGGTGCTGATGTTACAGGCATACACTGCCATGCCTGACCTTCAGGCTTAAGAGCTGAGACAGGGTGAAGACAGCTTGACAGGTGTGCTTTTATGGGTTTGGCTGTTTTGTTTTGAATCCATTACCCTCCCCACTATACTACTTCACAGGTGTGAGGCACTTGCACTGGAGTGTGGAGTTTACCTCCCTGTTTAGTCTGATGACCCATAGTACCCTGATGGGGGCACTCTGGGTCATTACCCTCTGTTGCCCTGGAGTTGTACACAAACAACAACCAGGACAATAGCCCCAGGAAGTCCTCATGATAGTAACAGGAGGCCCCTGTGTGGGTGGGATGCCCAGAAAGGGATGTCTAGGCTAAAGGCTACCTTCCACTCACCCATCCTCTCAGCTGAGGTGGGGGCCCTCACCATGGTTGTGGGTATGAACCTCGAGGGCAGTTTGCCTAGGAGAAGCAGACTGGCCTCTCCGAATCTTGGGGTGTGGCTCATTCCTGCTCCCAAGAAGCTTTGAACCCTTGGTGCTGAAGTGAGACAGTGCCAAGTGAGTCTGTTCTTGCCTTCCATTTCCTTGGCCCTTCCTTATGGGCTGTCCTGCCCAACTCCCCACATCCTTGGCTCCTTCCCAGGGGCTGTGAGTGGCAGCAATTGGTGAGTTCCAGTGAAAACAGGGCAGTTCTTGGCCCTGTGGATCAGATGGCATATGTTGTAAGTTTTGGAAAGCTAACATGCCCACAGGACTTGAAATTCAGACATCACAGAGATTGTTGGGCTCTTTATAGAGGCCTGCCCCTTTGGTCCTATAGAACAAAAGGCAGGGAGGGCCATCTTCCCAATTGACAGATGAAGAAACTGAGGCTCACAGTGGCCATATAGACCCTGTCACTAAGCCTCAGTTCTCCCTTTCTCCAGTGTCAGAAACTTGTGGAGGCCTGTGCTGGAGAGAATGTGGCACTATGTGGTCAACAGACTCTTTGCTAGTGGTCACAGTCTTTCCTGTCACCAGGGAGAGCTGTATGGGAGCGTGAGGGGGTGTGGGAAGCCTGCCTCACTGCCTACAATGTGTCAGAGATCTTTTGCCTGGTGACTGCTTGTTGAAGATGAGGATGACTGTTTCTGGCACTTTACAGATGACTGCAGAATGTGGCCTTTGGGGTTTAAAGCCCTGAAATGTCCTTCAGCTGTGTCACCTGGAGGAGTCTTCCTGAGCTCAGACTGTTAGATAGAATGGAAAATCAGAGGTAGTAACTTGATGGGGGATGTCCTTCTGTATATATGTTTCTCTTATTGGTTGATGAACAAAACACTGTTTGGCCAATAGTCAATAGAGGCAAGAAGATAGGTGGTGCTAGGAGATGAGAAGAATTATGGGAAAGGTAGGCAGGGGAGCCCACCAGACAGTTGCCATGTAAACCACAAAGGAGCAAGAGGTCCAGACCCTTCTCCAGTAAGATAAGACAATGTGGACATACTTAGATTAATAGAAGTGGGTTAATAATTAAGACAGAGCTAGCCAATAAGAATCCCTAGTCATCATCCAACAGTTTAATAAGTAATATAGCATCTGTGTGTTTATTTGGGGACTCAAGGGCGGTGGGACCTGGCGGGACAAGAAGCCATCAGCTACAGTAACTACTCACAGGGTTATCATAAGAATGGAATAAGATGTATGAAGAGTGAGTTACCCATGCTTGCCGAGAGGGGGAAACAGGACCTGTGCATGTGAACCTCCAGGCCCATGAGAGGATGAGCTGTCTTGTTTCCCATTCCTGCATCCAGAACCTGCGTACAGTACAGTGGATGATCGGGAATATGTATCCATTGAATAAACATGCAGAGGTACTAAAGTCCTGTCACACACATCCCTACCAAATAAGTTTGTTTTGGAGTGGAAGATTAACAAATGAATTGATCTCTTTTTTTTTAAAAAAAAAGATTTATTATTTTTAAATGTGTGTGTGTGTGTTTATGTGTGTATCTGTGTGTGTATCTGTATGTGTGTCTGTGTCCATGTGTGTCTGTGTGTGTATCTGTGTGCATTTGTCTGTGCATGTGTGTGGATCTGTGTATGTGTGTCCGTGTAGATGTCCATTTGTGTCTCTGGGTATATCTGGGTGTGTGTCCCCATGTGTATGTGTCTGTGTGTGTGTCCATGTATGTCTGTGTGTATGTATTTATGTGTGTGTGTGTGTGTGTTCATCTGTATCTTTGTATGTTGTGTGTGTCCGTGGGTGTGTGTGTCTGTATGTCTAGGTGTGTGTATATGCCCGTTCTCACAGAAACTGGGGGCATTGGGTTCCTTGGAGCTTGATTTATAGGCAGTTACCAGCCTCTTGACATGGCTGCTGGGAATCAGGCTAGGGTCCTCAGCAAGAGCAGTATGCCTTCTTAAGCACTGAGCTGTCTTTTCAGCCCCAAGTGAATCGATATTTTTCCCCTCTACATCTTCTCTACTACCTAAGTCCTATATATGTCCATATGTACATTATCCATATATGGATACAGAGATAGATGATAGATAGACAGACAGACAGATGATAGACAGGGTTTCGTGTAACCCCGGCTGGTCCTAAACTTGCTATGTGACCAACAAACAAATCAACCTTGAACTTCTAATCCTCCTGACTCTACCATACAAGTGTCAGGATTATAAGCATATGCCATCACGCCCGGTTTTATGCAGTCCTAGGGATCAAACCCGGGGCTACTTTGCAGGCTGCGGTTACATACGTATTGGTTTCTCAAGACAGGGTTTCTCTGTGTAGCCCTGCTTGTCCTGGAACTCGCTCTGTAGACCAGGCTGTCCTCAAACTCTTAGAGATCCACCTGCCTCTGCCTTTCAAGTGCTGGAATTGAAGGTGTATACCACCACCACCAAGCTCCCATTTTTTATAATAATATGATGACTATGAAAAATTTTCAGAAGCACCAGAACTCATCCAGAGTAAACAATGCTGTGTCAAGTGACTGGCAAAGGAGGGAGGGTGGCCCCTGACTGTGGGAAACAAAGGTGCTATAGCTGAGGTCTGGTGACTCCCAGCCCCCACTGTAGCTGGCAGGCTCCTGCTTCTGTACCAGAGCACGAGGAGCAGAGTTGAAATGGGCAGGCAGCCACTGAACCTGGGACCCCTGACTCCCTGTCCCTTGGAGTAGGCACTCCAAAGCTGCATTTGACACTGGACTTCTTCTTTGCCTCATGGGGCTCTTTGGGGGCTTCCAGGGCAGTTAGCATGAGCCTGGGTCTGATGACGCTTCTCTTGCTCCTTCTCTGGCATCTGAAGGTAAGGATATGAAAGCCCTAGTGACTCAGAACCCAGAAAACTTTGATTTCAGAAATGGAAATATTAAGGAAATTGAGTGGGGACCAATATGGGGGCCTAGGGTGTGTCTAGCACCTCAGGGATGGGTAATGGTGGGTCTTCAAAACCCTTAAAGATGTGGACCCAGGGCCTGGATGTCAAGAAAAAGCTGCCACCAACTGCTGCGTGACCTGTGCCAGTCCCCCTCCCTGTCTGGGCTTCATCCTCTTCTTCAAGACAGTAAAGGTGTGAGCAGCTGAATTTGGTGTTCTCTAAACAAAGCATCCCATAAAGCAGGCTGCACAGGTGGCTGGGGGTGGAAGGTGGTGTGATGGTTCTGAGGTACCATTTCAATGCTCCAGAAAGCTACTTTCAGACCATCAGAAGACAGCAAAGGAGAGACTGGGATTCAGGTCTCTACCATCCAAGAAGCCCATCTGCCTCTTTGATATGCGGCAGCAAACCTCCAGCTCAGGTCACTGTGGCAGCAGGATCCTGCAAGAGCTGGATGCCATTATCTAATGGCCATTGTATTTTGACTTTTCTATTTATGGCAAGTGAGAGATATTTGAAACTGGAGGGGGCACAAATTAAGGAAAGTATACAATAGAAGGGTGTGGGTGCTTGAGGGCAGATAAGCAGAGGGTGGGGCATCCAGCACTGACCCCAGAGGAGGTCAGAGATCCTGGGCAGGAAAGAGGTGGACATTTGGAGTCAGAAAAACCCTGCCTCCCAGAAGAACTTCATGGGGGCTGGGCAAACACATATATAGGAGTATAGGCTGTCCAGCTAGGCCACTGGCCACTGCTGCTGGAGCATCATGCTAGCTGTCACACTCCTGAGCCTGGCCCTGCTAGGAAGCACCTGTGCCTGCTCCACCAGCACCTCGTATGAGGCAGGCATTGTGTGCCGAATCACCAAGGCTGCCCTTCTGGTGTGTAAGTGCCTGCCTATGTCTGTCCTTTGGGGATATCCGCTGTGGTCAGAAGACAGCACTGGAGCAGGGCTGCACCCTGGAAGCTTGGGGGCAAGATAAAGAGGTGGGGAGAAAGAGAGGGAAAGGAGAGGGGAGAGGGAAAGGGATGAGCTGTGACAGTGAGGTGAGAGTCAGGGCCCCCCTTTCTCCTCTGACTTCACATTCAAGAGCAAGGTTGTCGGCGCCTGCTAGATTTCAAACAGCTACATGCATGGTTTGCTGAGAACTCTGAGTCAATCTTAGTTCAGAGAGCGGGTGTGGGGGGGAATCAAGGTTAAGGACAAAGTTGGTGATCATATGTCCTTGGTGATAGAGGCTAACCTGTGTCACCAACTGCTATGTGACCTTAACCCGCCTGCTCTCTCTGGAACGCAGCCTGATGAGGATGTGGGAAGGTTAAAGTGTGTTGTCGACACAGAGTATCTCATATTAGTTGTATTAGAGCCAGGGGTCTGGGTGCAGCTGGAGCTGAGGGTGTCATTTTGACTAGAACTGCAACCTTCCTAAGAGTTGGGAAGTATAGCCTGGGGTATGAACAAGATATGGGGAAGAGGTTCTGTGTTTCCTGAGGGACCCACCACCACCCACCCAGAGACCTGTTGGGGGCAGGGCCTCATCCCAGAGAGGCTGGGCAGTGGGCTGGTTGAAGGTGGGAATTGCCTACCTCACAGTCTCTCACTCAACTTTCCTTCCAGTGAATCAGGAGACAGCCAAGGTCATCCAGACAGCTTTCCAGAGAGCCTCCTACCCAGACATCAAGGGTGAGAGGTCTATGATGCTCCTTGGCCGAGTCACGTATGGTTTGCACAAGTGAGTGGCAGGGCTGGGGCTGGAGGGGAAGAACTTGGGACACATGGTGGACCCAGGGAGGAGGAGCATCAGGATGGATACTCTGATACGATGTGCCTTCCCCTGCTTTCAGTCTGTCCAAGTGACTGTCATTGTACTCACCTCCACTGCAGCCCCTGTAGAAGTCAGGCCTCGAGGAACATTTTCATCTGTTCTAGGAAGATGAGGCAAAGAGAGGCAGGCAGTACGCTGAGACTTCTTGGCCAGGCTGTTCTTCTGAATGGATTGGAATCATGGTCAGGACAAGATCAGACTGTGGGCCTGATGCTTTTTAAGCTGTGTTTTACATTGTCATGATTGCATCTCCCTAAGTGCCTAGCTTAACCAATAAGAAAGAGGGGACAGAGCTTAGGCTGTACACAGTGCAGCAGGCACAGCTGAGCCATAGCTCAGCTCCCGGGACTCAACTAAACCCAGGGAAGATACTTTTCGTGGGCCTTATCTGTGTTTTAAAACCAAAGTCCTCTTCCCCAGATCCCCTAAAACAAACCGAGGACAGTGACCAGCTTTATGCTGGAACAGGAACCTGTCCCTCTTTAGAGCCACTAGGTGGTGCTGACAGTGCTGGAACTCCACTCTGAGGACAGTTACAGGTGGAGTGTGAGGGACGCGGAGGCAGCCAGGACTCTGTTTGACCTTGAGTGTCAGTTTCTCTTTCTGTATAAAGAGGATGGCATCCACAACATGCCAGAGGCTGCAAAAGCGTCCTTGGAGTTGTTAAAAAGAGATGCAACTTGTAGGGTATGCTGGCGCATGCCTTGAATCCCAGAACTCAGAGGCAGAAGGATCTCTGTGAGTTTGAGGCCAGCCTGGTCTACATAGCAAGTTCCAGGACAGCCAGGGCTATACAGAGAAACCCTGGGAAATGAGAGAGAGAGAGAGAGAGAGAGAGAGAGAGAGAGAGAGAGAGAGAGAGAGAGAGAGAGAGAGAGAGAGAGAGAGAGAGAGAGAACACCTTTAACACATCAGCAGTAGTCCAGACCAGATTGTCTGAGAATAGATTTCATTCTATATGTCACCCACATGGGCATGTCTGTATAACCGGGCATCAGGGATCAGCTGTGACTGAAATCACTGTGTACAATGGGAATTCTTTATCCTGTTGTCTACGGAAGGAGCAGAATAAAATCTAAGAGGAAAGAAAAGTCTGGGGAGATGGCTCAGTCTGTAAAGTGCCTACCACACATGAAGAGGACATGAGTTCAAATCCCCAGTCCCTATGAAAAAGCTGAACATGGTGGTGTGTAGTTATGTCTTAGATATACTATCGCTATGATGAAACATCATGATTAGAAACAACTTGAGAGGAAAGGGTCTATTCGGCTTACATTTCCACATTGCTGTTCATTCCTTAGGAAATCAGGATAGAAACTCAAACAGGGCAGCAACCTGGAGGCAGGAGCTGATGCAGTGGCCATGGAGGAGTATTGCTTACTGGCTTGTTCCTCCTGGCTTGCTCAGCCTGCTTTCTTACAGAACTCAGAACCACCAGCCCAGAAGTGGTCAATTACCAATTAAGAAAATATCCTAAAGACTTTCCTACAGCCAGATCTTTTTTTTTGTTTGTGTGTTCATTTGTTTTTTTACACAGGGTTTCTTTGTGTAGCCTTGGCTGTCCTACACAGCTGGATCTTATGGAGGCATTTTCTTAATTAAGGCTCCCTCCTATCTGATGACTCTGACATGTATTAACATAAAACTAGCCAGTACAACCTATAACCAACTACTGGAGGGGGTCGGGCAGATCCCTGGAGCTCATTGGCCAACTAGCCTAGACAATATAGGAGAGTTCCAGGTTTAATGAGAGACCCTGTCCTCTATTTAATGTTGAGAATGACCAAAGAAGACACCTGACATGGATCTCTGGCCTCCACATATGCATACACCCACACAAACACTCACATACCCACATACAGCAGGTGTGGTGGCACACACTTGGAATTACAGTACTGGAAAGATGAAGATAGGAGGCTCAGTGGCTGGCCAGCCTAACCTAGGTGGTAAGTTCTAGACCAGTGAGAGACTGTCTCAAATCAACAAACAAAAAGGCAGAGGCACCAGAGGAGTGGCACAGAGGTCACCCTCTGGCCTCCACATTCATATGCTGTACACATGAACCTGTATATACAGGAACACACACACACACACACACACACACACACACACACACAAGAGAAAGAGAGAACACCGAAAGGCCAAGTGGTAGTGCCTGGCTTTTCACGGCTAGCATCTATCACAGAGGCCTACATAATGCAGGCTTTGAAGTGGGTCAGGTCCAAGATGAAATTCCAGCGAAGCCTTCTGGAGCCACACAAACTCTCTGGGACACTCTACCTCAGCCCAGCACTGTGGCAGTGACAATCTCCTGGTGTGGCTATGCAGATGAAGCCAGGAGACACACACTCTGCATAGCAGGTTCTCCCCCTCAGAGCACACACCACGTCTGTGACAGCAGGTGGGCCACAAGATCTCCCTCACATGGTAGGATTAGAAGAAGGTGTTCAGGTTTGGACACCTCTTTTCAGATGACTTTAGGGGTTAGCTGATGTAGACATAGTTAGGATTAATTTTTGGATACTTTACACTGTTAAGTTTTAATCCTCTTTTAGACTAAAAGGGGAATTGTAGGGGACAGTGTAAGCACACATGTCATGGTGTGGTCAAGCACACCTGTAGCCAGCTTCTAGTAGGCATGGCTTACACTGTCCCCTACATGGTAGGTCTCCTTTCTTCTCCCACTAGTGTCACCTCTAGAAAGCTTCTGTGTCCATTTTCTACTTGCCATCACAATACAAGTTCGGCGGCTTTAAGCTTATTATCTTTATAGTTGCAGGGCAGGTGACAGTAGGTGACATTCAAAGTGCTGGCAGGGACTCTTCTGAGGTCACAGGGGATACAAGGTACCCTGCCTTGTGGAGTTTCTAGAGGCCACCCCAGCCCAGGCTTCTGACCCCTCTGTTTCTGAGACCAGCAAGGCTACATCCTTGCCCGTCTTCCCTGCTCACACATCCGCACCTGCCTCCCCTTCCCACTGTCCAACAGTGGCGCTTGTGATTAATTTACATCCACTGGGTGACTTAGGTCCCCCCATTTTAATATCCCCACACCTGCATGGCCCCCTCTGTTGATTAGGAGATGATTTCGGTGGGAGTTGCTATCCTATCTAATACCCTCCCAACCTCTAAGGTAAAGTGGGAAACAACTTTAGATGCTTTCTGGGAGACCCAGGCTTCTGGGGGTGACTCCAGGGTACATTTAGCACCAGGACAACAGGACAGGGTAGGACAACAGGTAGGGTCTTTGGAGCATGTGGAGAGGCAGGGGCAATCCCTCCCTGCCCTTAGTGCCCCTCTTTACCACCATCTGCCCTCACAGCATCCAGATCAGCCACCTGTCCATTGCCAGCAGCCAGGTTGAGTTGGTGGAGGCCAAATCCGTCGATGTCTCCATTCAGAATGCATCTGTGATCTTCAAGGGGACCCTGAACTATGGCTACAAGGGCGCCTGGGGGTAAGCATTCCCATTAGCTGTTGAGTCACCTGCTGGCCTCTTGGTGACAATAGAGGAACACAGGGACAGTTAAATGAGGAAGTTGGTCCTTGGCTTTTTACAGGTTGAACATTGAACAGTCTGTCGACTTTGAGATTGAGTCGGCCATTGACCTCCAAATCAACACGAAGCTGAGTATGTTGGCTCCTCTGGGAAGGTGGAAGGCCAGGCTGCAGGGATGGAAGACCAAGTAGATGGGTGTTCTCAGGCCTCTGGAGGGGCAAACTGGGGAAGCTTGCAGGACAGGAAGCCAGAGCTGGCCACACTTCTGGTTGGCCTGGACTGCCCTATAGCTCAAGCTGCCCTGGTGGGCGTTGGTTTCTCTGCAGCCTGTGACTCTGGCCATGTACGGACTGATGCCCCTGACTGCTCTATCTCCTTCCATAAGCTGCTCCTGCACCTCCAAGGGGAGCGTGAGTAAGTCACCATCTCCAAGAACTCCTTCTATACCCCAGGCCTGTTAGTGTGCCCCTCCTCAAAGGTGTCATTTCTAGCCCTTCCCATTAGTGGACCCTTGAAACTCAACAATAGCACCAGTAGCTCCATTACTGAGAATACATTATGTGATGTATTCTAAGCTCATTGCACAGACAGGATCCCATGGTTCAGAGAAGCCCCAGGAACAGTCAATGACAAATGTGGATAACAGGGGGAGCTGGTGTCTGGGAACTGGCGAGAGCCATCTCTCAGCCCTTCAGCACATAGGTTCACGTATGGATGCAGACTCCAGCATGTCCCTAGGTAAAGGTGTGACAGGAAGTGGGCCCTCTGGGGAAAGCCTAAGGTGGCAATGTGGTTGACATGGGTTCCAGGCCTCCTGAGTTCAGGGCTCTCTGCTGTGAAGTGGGGATGCTAATGTCTCCTTCCTGAGCCCTTGGAGGACTCCAAGGGCAGAGGATCCCTGGATGTCACTGTTCAGCACACAGTAGGTACTCAACACGCACCCATGTCTAAGTGAAGCACCTGTGACGCTTGGTCCCCTCAGGCCTGGGTGGACTAAGCAACTGTTCACAAATATCATCTCCTTCACCCTGAAGATGGTCCTGAAGGGACAGGTAGGTGAAGCCAGACCAGAGTCATGCCATGGGAGCAGGCTTCCTCCTCTCGTGGCTCTTCCTGCCCTGACCCCAACCCCTATCCCCATTCCCCATGCAGCCATTCAGACACAGCCAGATGGAGGCACTGTCTGCCTCTTATCTGGCCTCCCTTCCTGCCTGATAAACAGCTTGAGCTGTCTACTCCAGGTCTGCAAGGAAATCAACGTCATCTCCAACATCATGGCTGACTTTGTCCAGACAAGGGCTGGTGAGTTCTGTCGTCATGGTTTACTGTGTGATGTTGGCACAGCCACACCCTTATGTGGCTTTTGCTAAACTGAGAGTCACTTCTTCTTGGAGATGCAGCTTTTCAAGCTGACCTTGGGCAAGACACTGAACCTCCAAGACTCAGTTTCCCTATTCGTAATTGAGAAGTGATAACAGCACCTTACCCCCACAGGGTAACAAGAGAATTGACTAAAAAAAAATAAATGGAAATTAGAAAAAAAAGTAAGACAATAGCTGGGCCATTGCCAGCACTTATTGCCACAATTAGATTGATCAGCATCCCATTCTCCTGTTGCTAAGCCCAGCAGCAACTACATATTCAGCAGCAAATGGATGAATGGTGAGATGGAGATCTTACTGAAGAGAGGAGCTGCAGTCTCACCCACCTTCTCCTCAGGCCTTGAGCTGTGAGGGCGCTCCCACAAGGCTGTGCAATGTAGAAGGAACCACTGGGACTGTGTTGTCCAGTAAGGACATTCCTATGTCACTGGGAAGAACAGGGAGAGAGGACTGGGTGCTGTGAGGACTATCCTGTCTGGTACTAACGAACAGAGCCACCATTGGTTGACCTCCTAGTCACCCAACAGTTGACTTCTAGACCCGTTTTACTAATGTTTATAAGCTGACAGGACACTCCCTGCACCCCAAGCAAGAAGTGGAAGAGAAGATTCAAACAACTGGTCCTTCAGCAGTTGAGCACTGGGCCTGGACACATAGCCCTTGCTCCCTGAATAAGGGCAGTAAGAGCAGTGAAGTCCTGGGTCAAGAGCCCTAGAGACCTCTGCAGAGGATGACTTAGAAGGGGAGACCCACACACAGCTCCAGGTGCCCCTGGCAGCATCCTACTCTTCTGTCCAGGATGCAGAGTAGCCACACAGTATGGGACATCCAGTTGCCTCCCCACTCCCCACCACCAACACTGGGGAAACCTGGATCAGGAACCTTCCTGCTTCTGGGGGAACATGAAGATGGCCCTGTCCATCAGGGAGTGGAGGGAGAGCCTACAGGAGTCGGGGTTTGCTAGAGAGACAGAATTCAGATGGGCTGAGAGGTCAGGGTCCCTTACCTACATCTGAGCCCATACCAACTAGTGGGACTAGTGGCTATAGAGACCCTCGGGGCTGCAGAGCCTGAGTATTTTCTGTCTACTCCTTTGTGGGAGATGTTTGCAGCCTCTGTTGGACCCAGAAGAATGAGAAGAAAGATTAGTAGAATTGCTCACAGTGTTACAAGCTCGCTCTCTCACACTTTTGCACAAATGAATTGAATGAACACAGCCCTGAGGTAGATGCTGTCCTCAGAGGTGAGGACAAGAGTTCCTAAGGAGGTCAGGACATCATCTTCTATTGCCACTCACAGTTTGGATCTGCAGTTGCAGACTCTGAACCCTTCTTCCACAAGGTCTTCCTCAGCATGGAGCTACCCAGACAGACAGTAGCTGAGAGAAGAGCAAAGTAGTGTCCATCCTTGGCCTGGGACTGGAGCATTTGGGAACAAAGAACTCAACCAAGGCCAGTTCTATCCACATGGTCCATTTGACCTCTGCTTTCCCACAGCCAACATCATCTCAGATAGAGACATCGAGGTGGACATTTCCTTGACAAGATCACCCATCATCACGGCCACCTACCTTGAGTCCCATCACAAGGTAGGCATGTTAGGAGAGGGCAGGACTTTTTCTGTTATAGTTTTGGGTTTCATCCTTATTCTCCACTCCCTTCCCCTAACTTTTATCCCATGTAAGCCAAGCATCCCTCACCACACCTGTAAGGCATTTTATGACATGGACAGAAAAGGACCAGGGTGCCCCACACCCTGTCCAGCACTGGCCCCATTACAAAATGCTTATTTATCTTCTGTCTTTCTCAAAAGTAATCACTCAGGGAAGCCAACACTCCCTCATAGGATCTGATGAAAGCCCTGGACCTCCATTACCTAAGACGTGGGTTGCACTACTGCAACAGAGACCCAAGAGAACAGCTTGCCCCCCACAGCTGTTCAGCTTCCTTGGGGAATGGCCTGGGGCATCTGGCTGATGCAGCGTCAGTGTACACAGGACAGTTGTATTGTGACCTGGATGCCTCACCCACTCTTCTCAAACCCTAGGGGCCTGGCCTCTATCACCTGGTCACCTAACTGAGAAGGTTATTCCATGGAACTGTGAACCTGGCCAAGACCTGGGTACTACAGAATTTTGAGAGAGATAGAGAGAGGGGGAGGGAGGAGACCAATCTTCTCTCCAGTGGGGCTTGTTTCTAGGAAAGTGACCAAAGGGAATACTTCAGGAGGGTGTGGATGCTGATGAAGACCCTGTATAGCATATGGGTGGCTTTTGTCAGTGGGCAAGGAACTAGGGATGGCTTATCTTCTTCACTCTGTTGACTGGACTGGTGGCCATGGACTCTCAGCTCCCTGAGGGCGCAAGGCTGGTGGCCAGAGTGGGAGCTTGGAGAACCACACTTATTCTGCTCTGACTGTCATCTTTGTGGAGTGCCAGCTTAGGAAGTGGCCACCGAGCCCACCTGGCTCACTTCACACTGTTCTCAGAGCATATCAGGTACTGTAGCTGTATTCACTGAATGTGTGGCTGGGAGGAAACTGAGGGTAATTGTTCCTCAGTTTCCCTATCTGTCTTCGACTAGAAAGACACTTTGCCTTCCAAAGCTCCACTCTTCTCCTTGAGGCTGGCTCTGGAGTCGGGCAGGGCTAAGAAGAAGAAAAACATCCAGTATACCTGTTTCTTCCAGGGTCATTTCATCTACAAGAACATCTCTGAGGTGCTTCCCCTCCCTGCCTTCTCACCCACACTGCTGGGGGACACCCGGATGCTCTACTTCTGGTTTTCTGAGCAAGTCCTCGACTCCTTAGCCAAGGCTGCCTTCCAGGATGGCCGCCTCCAGCTCAACCTGGCAGAGACAGAACTCAAGGTAAGGGGCAGGGTGGGCTGGTGGGACAACCACGTGTGTGATGGTCTGTATGCGTTCGTCCCCACCCAGGCATGGGGGAGCCTGAAGGGAACTCTGGGTGTTGGTCAAAAGAGCCATGAACCACTGAAGCTGCAGTCATAATATTAAATTCTAGCAGTTATTGGTGCCCACTATGTGTGGTATGTAAGTCACTGATCAATGAAACAATAGACAAGCAGATGCAATTACAGATATTTTTGAAACACGGTAATTATGCAAGTTACCTGCTTTTAACATCGGTGCTGCTGCCATTTTTGTTGCACTGACTGTAGGTGACTAATGTTGCCATTTTCAGTATGTAAAAGTGTTCAACCAAAACCAGGAAATACAATGAAGCTTGAGAGAATAGGTAGCTTGTCCTAGATAGCTTGGGTTAGAAGAGGTGACTCACAAGCCAGCATCTTCCACAGATGCCATTCCACTAATGGGGAGACCGGGGGCTCCTAGAGGGAAGACTGTAAGGTCCTGCAGCCTGGGTGTCACAAGGATCCAGCTAGGTCAGGGTTTCTTATACTATACCCTTCCCTGATCTAATCTGGGAATTAAGTTTCAGGAGGGGTCCAATCAATGACATTGCACCCTATGCCTACAGTGTCTTTCTAAGGAGTAACCTCACCCAGAGGCACCCTTTCTCTTGTAGGTGGTGCTAGAGACTTGGCACTTCAACCCTAACCAGGAAATCATTCCGGAGGTAAGTTCTTGTAGCTAGGGGTTTAGCTTAAGCACCCTGATCCTGCCCCTGCTTTAGGAGCTCTCCTGTCTCCAGCCAGTCTCAGCAATGGGGACATGCATATGAGCAAGGACAAGCTCCTGGGTGTCTAACCCGAGTGAGCTAAGGCTTTCTACCTATCATCCAGACACTGCTCTGAGCACCTTTCTCACACTGGACAGCCTAGTGAATGGCAGGGCTACCTGTGAGCCAGCCATGATGACTCTAAAGGTTATGCCCCATATCCCTGCTCCACACCAAATCCATAGGGTCTGGGGATGGGGTGGAACCCCAGGATTAGCCCCAGGCTCTCTCACAGGACTCAGACAATAGATGGGTGACTACTCATCACTGACCCTGAACCCATGGACTTTCTGGGCCTTACAGTTTCCCCTCTGCTAAGTGGTGACAATGTCTGTAAATCTGATTCTCAAGGCAAAATCCAAATCTTGAAGGGACCATTGCCCTTTCTGGGTAAACTCCTCCAGCCTCTGATGGACTTCTTCCCCACCACCCACTGTGGTGGTTGCTTAGGTATTTTCATACCACCCTAAACTCTCTAGACTCCCTCCCAGCTTCCCACAATCTCCCTTCCCACAAACCCAGGAACTCTATGCAACTGCTTCTCCCAGAGTGGCCCCAACACAGCTCCCCTCTGTGCTGTGCCCACTAACCCCATCCTGCTCCTCCTTGGTGGGGGTCTTCCTGGCCTAGCAGTGACAGTTCTTCCCTTCTGAAGTTCCTGCCTTCCCTTCCCAGCCTAGACTGCTCCCTCTTTCCAGAGACAGAACTCTGAAGATAGGTAAACCTCTGACTTGTCCTCCCTCGTCCCCACACTGAGAGCCATCATGGCATCCACACTGTTGCAGAGTCTGTACACTTCTCCTTGGCTCCATCCCCAACCCAGGCCCAGCTACTATGGGGGTTTCTGTGACCTCAACAGGCTGCAGAAAGATAAGCCATGGGAAGCAAGAAGACAGTTTAGGTCCATACAACTCAGTAGTAGGTGCTGGTTCAAACTTCTGGAGTCTGACCCTGAGGGTTTATTTTAAAGGCATATTTAAATACAGTCCAATTTGATGAAAACTATTCTGTTGATGGTTAACTCAATTCCACATGCACCACAAAACACACACAAATCTCCTTGAGGACCAAAGTAAGCTAAACACAGATCAGACTTGACTTGGTTCTGTAGATTGAGAAAAAAATCATGACAAGGTGTATTTTTATGTTAAATGTTAAGCTCAGGTTGTCCTGCACCTTGCCAGACTCAATTACAAACATATCCTCCAGTCCTGGTGTTCACAGATTGCTTTTGTTCATTTTACGTCTTGTGTTGCTGCTACCATTGTTTGAAGACAGGGTTTTGCCATACATGCGGCTCACACTACATGTAGTCTCAAATTCCATATGTAGCCCAGGCTGCTCTCCAACTTTTGATCTTGCTGCAGCTGCAATTGCAAGTGTTTACCACCATGCTTGGGTAATTCTTTAATCTACACCCTCTGCCTGACTTGAACCTCTTTGTGGCTTCCTTTGGTGAGATTACTTACAGTATTCTTCCCACAGATGGCATGTGTCTTATTTCCAGCTGTACCCCTCAGCAATTTCTGAGAACACCGAAGTCCAGGGACGCGTCCCTTGGTGCCACATCCTCCCCTGTGTCGGGGCTTCACGGCAGTTTCACTTCTCAGCTGAAGCCTGTCTCCAGAACCTGGGGTTACCCTTTCTTTATTTTGAGCTCAGCTATGTGTTAAGTAAAGCTTCCTATTTGGGGCACTCACTGGCTGAGTAGTGCTTTTAGGAGAAGCTGCTGGCCCAGTCCACAGGTTGCAGGTCCTGCAGCTCTGCCCACCTGACCTACCTGCTCCCTTCCTGTATGGGATAAGCACCACCCACAGGGGCTTGCTAACTCTTCTGTCCACCGGAAGTGTTCCTCACCCCCTTCCATCTGATTCTTTTCCATCTACAGGGTAGTCCCCTCCAACCTCCTGGTCTAAGTCAGATCCTCTGCCCAAGACTCTTGTACCCTGGCCTGGTCCCTCTCTTCTATCACATCTCTGGTTGCAATTGTACATTTCTTTTGGGGATTCTATAACAAGTGTTGGACTTTGCTGGCAAAGACCATGTGTGTTTGACTCTCTGCTGAACCCAGCTCGTGGTCAGAGCTGAAGTTAGTAAGGTCCCCACAAATATTATTAGAAGCAACACCCTGCCTGTCCTGGAACTTGCTATGTAGACCAGGGTAACCTCTAACTCAAAGATCTACCTGCATCTGCCTCCTGAATGCTGGGATTAAAGGTGTGCACCACCATGCCTGGCTTTAAAAAATCTCTCTGTTCTTTTCATCACATCTCCTGGGTCCCCAGTAGGACCAGCTGTTAGCTCTGCATGTGGGTGATCTCATTTATTCCTCTCTGTTGTAACCCCCATTTCACAGACCATGAAAGTGAGGCCCACAAACCTAAGTCAATGTGTCCCTCCCATGAGAAGGTGGTCAAGGAAGCAACAGTTTTTGCTCTCCCCCATGGAGATGACAAAGCTGAGGGTCCGAAGGGGGCAAGAGTATTAACTTATTTTTAAAACTTTTAAGTTCATTTACTTAATTTTATGTGTATGAGTGTTTTGCCTGCATGTCTGTATGTGTAGCATGTGTGCCTGGTGACCATGGAGTTCAGAACAGGAAGTCAGCTGCCCTGGAACTGGATTTCAGACAATTGTGAGACACTATGCCAGGGTCCTCTGGAAGAGCAGTCAGCAACCTTAACTACTGAGCTGTTTCTCCAGCCCAAGTCCTAATGTCTTGCCATGTCACTGTTAAGTTAGTGTTGAGGTATAGCCCAGAGCCTGAGCGACCACCCCAAGCTGTTCTTACCCACCTGGGACTCCAGTCAGTCTGATCCCTCCAGTCTCTGAGGGCAGTGGCCACAGCTCTTCTGATGGCCCCTGTCTCAGTCACGGGATTCCCATCTCCCCACAGCTGTTCAGTGGCCTCCTCACCAGCCCAGGCCAAGTCACTGTCCACTGCCCGAGGAGGCCTACAATCTCCTGCCAGAACAAGGGTGTCGTGGTCAGTTCTCCTGTGGTGATGGAATTCCTCTTCCCACATAAGGATGGGCAAGATTCTGTGACTCACACTTTTGAAGAGGTAAGATGGGTGCAGGGATTTGGAGCACTGGTGGCTGTCAAAATCTATCTTATCTTTTCACCATCTCTGCTGGGATTCATTGTTTCTTACCCATGGCTCCTGGTCATCAAAATTGTGGGGTGTGAGCCAGGAGGTGGTCAACAAGATGCCTCAGCTTTACTAAGATCCCCCCTAAGTAGAGCACTGGAACATGGATGTTTGCCATGTAGGTCTAAAACACTGTCACCATCCACCTCTGTCCACATCCTCTAGGATCACATGGATTTCCAGTTTCCCCATGTTAGGAAAGAAGCATAGTGTGTGTATATGCTGGACTTGGCACTGAGAGTCCCATGTAGGGTCTGGGGTGGCACCCATGATCAAACACACTGATATTTCTCCTTGTGTCATAACCATATGAAGCAAGGCTGGGACTAGGTGCCAAGCCCCTTCTGAGTTACTAGGTTTCACCAACTCAGAAACAGGAGCTTGGATGCTAGCTAGATCAATTGTAATGAAGGAGCTGAGGTCAGTCTGGTTTCCAAGGCTCTTCAAGATCTCTTAAATGTTTTTTGGTAGCTCAAGCTCTAAAGATAGCAGGCATGGCATCTACTCTTATAGTCTCCACATTGGAAGGCTAGGCAGGATTGTGGGTTAAAGGTAATCCTGGGCTACACAGGGGACCCTGTCTGAAAAAAAGAAACAAACTCACACACCCAAATCAAAAAATATACCCTCCCCAAATGCTAAAGGCAAAAGCAGTGAAGCCTGTAAGAGAAATTCTGCCATTTGAAGAAAGTGCCCAGGGTGGTACCCACCTCACATGGAGCATGGTGGGTTTCCATCTGACAAGTCCCTTAAAAACAAACATAGTTTGCATGTTCATTTTTTAAAAGTATTTAATTAGGTCAGAGAAATGACTCACTTCTTGGAACCCACATGGGTCCTGGAAGTTGTTCTCTGACCTGTACATGCTCACCATAGCATGCACATTGTTAGAATAAATCTGGAGGGGTCCTTAGCAGATTCCATGGCAGGTGAGGGTGACAGAGGCAGAGGGACAAACAGTCCAGGCAGACAGAGCTTAAGTGAGAGGTTTTATTAGAAATGGGAGGGAGGAGAGAGGAAAGAGAAAAGAAGTAAAGACACACAACACACACACACACACACACACACTCACACACACACACACACACACACACACACACACACACACACACACTCACACGGTCTACAACTGGAGTTAGAGAGCAACTTTTAGGAGTTGGGTCTCTCTTCTACCATGTGAATCCCAGGGATTGAACTCAGATCATCAGGCTTGGCACTGGACACTGATCCATTGTGCCAGCCCAAACTCCTTATTTTTTAATAACTTCATATTTGAATAGAAGTTACCAAGACAGGACAGAGTATTCAACACTCTCAGCCCCTGCATGTAAAACACTAATCTTTCCATAATTGCGCTGTTTGTCATAATGAAGAGATCACCATGGCTGAGCTCTTGTGACTAACTCTAGACTTCATCTAACCCTTATCCATTTTCCCCACTGATCTCCTTTTGTGCCAAGCAAGATCCAGTCCACAGAGCATATGGCCTTCAGACATTTGAAAACTCCTCAGGTTTTTGTCTTGTTCTGTTTACTTAACCTTTTTGTGTCTTTAAGAACTGGAGAGATTCAGAGTAGTCATTCTAGAAAAAAATTTATTCAATGACATTTGTTAATGTCAGGTGAGGCTAGTGTCCATAAGGACAGGAGCCAAGTCAGTGTGTCTTTAAGGAAATGGGTAGTAGAAAGGGGTACTGGGCTCCAAATAAGGCTTGGTAATGATGGAATCGATACCCAAGGGTAAGGGCAGGGAGTTGGGGAAGAGTGTGATAGAACTGACCTAACAAGATTTTTGCTGACAGTGACCAGGGTGATTAGATAGCACCCTCATAGGAGCAGGTAGAGGATGAGTCCTCAGGTCAAAGAGGAGGGTGGCCTGATACTGACGGTTACACAATGGTTCTAGGAGAACGTTTAGGAATGTGATTCAAGTTTGGCCAAGCCAAGACCTTAGGTCAGACCACGGTAGGCACCTATCAAGCCCCCTTCCCCCAGATGTCACACTCTAACCTCCTGCCATGACTTCCCCAGTACCTTTCTCCCTCCCCACCCCTGGACTCTCCTCTCATCTATGAATTTGGCTATGCACATGAGCAGCCTTCATGAACTACTATTCCCCAGGACCTTGGATGGGAAAACTTCCAGAAAACTGAACTAGTTAGATCCTCAGACACCACAGGCTGATATCTTGGTGGTGTGAGACACCCTAGTATGGGTGTTTGGAGTGAGAGTGTGTCTGTAGGCTGACAGGGTAAAGGAGGAAGTTGAAGCACAGAAGGCTGTTGGGTAGGGTGGGAGGAGACTACATGGCTGGCACCGTAGGTTGGCTAGATTGAGGGGACATTAAAATGAGTTCTGGTGGTAGTAATCCTAGAGAAATAGTGGGTTTACCCCTTCCTGATAGAGGTGACTCTGGAGGCATGGAGCAAGAGGACATTTTCTTAAAGCCTCAGCTCATATTTGTCTCTGAGTTAATAACTTCTGCATTCCTTATACACTACTTTTGTTTTTCTTTTCAATACCATGAGTTCTTACCATGGCCTAGGCCATATGAATTCTGATCGCATGAAGCATATAGCCTAGTGGGTAGAGAAAGAGTTACTGGCTATCCAAGCAAAAACATTATACTTTAAATTTTTTGCCCAGAGATATAAAATTGAAAAGTGCTTAGGTAACTTTAATTCAATGTCAAGGTTATTTGAAGGCCATTTGTACCTGGGTCTCACACACTGACATGTTTTGAGCATGCCCCAGGAAGGTTGGCGGGGCACAGATTTGAGGGCCCATCTCCAGAATGTCTGGCTCATAGTCATTAGGTGGGCCCCAAGAACGCATTTCCAACATGTTCCTAATGTTGGGGCCCGGAGCGTGGCAACAGTCCTGGAGATGCAGCTATCCAGGGTCCTGGATTCCCTGAGTGTGAAAACACAAACATGGTCAACTGCCAGCAGGGGGTGCCTCAGCTTTCCTGGAGAACGGCTTTGCGTTGGAGGTGGAGGATGGAAGTAGTTTTCAAAAGTCCTGGTCATTGGTCATTTCAGACCTACCAGGAGGAAGCAGTTGGGTGTATGGACAGGACCAGGGTCCTAAGTCCAAAGCTTCAGGAGCTGTAGAACTTTCTTCAGTTTTGCCTTTTCAATCTCCTCCTCTGCTGTGGAACTCAGGACCTGTGTGTCCTGGGCAGGTGCTCCACCACAGAACAGCTCAGCCCGATCCCTGCCCCCCACTCTTCATCTCTGTGTACGTTGTATATTCATATGTATATGCTCCTGTGTGTACACATGTGTGTGCACCCAAATGCTGGAGGTTGACAGCGGATTTTTTCTCTAATGCTCTGTACCATTTCCTTTCGTCCTCTCTCCCTCCCTCTCTTCCTCTCCCTTCCCTCCTTCCCTCCCTCTCTTCCTCTCCCCTCCCTCACTCCCTCCTTCCTTCCCTTTGGTGGTTTGTTTTTGTTTTTGAGAAAAGGGACACACTATATAGCCCTGGCTGGCCTAGAACTCAGAGATCTGCCTGCCCCTGCCTCCTGAGCACTGGGGCTAAACATGTGTACCACCACACCTGGCTTTTATCTTATTTTTTGAAACAGGGTCTCTCATTGAATCTAGAGCTCACAAAAATAGCAAGCCCCAGAGATTCTCTTAGCTCTGCCTCCCAAGTGCTGGGATTAAAAGCATGCACTACCACTGCCCTGCTCCAGACCCTCCTTTTAATGTGGGTGCTAAGATCAAACTGTGCTCCTCATGTTTGTACTCCAAGCACTTAACCAGCTGAGCCATCTCCCCAGCACCCCCAACTTTTCTTCTTTTAAACACAATTGCGTTGTAGGATGTATTTGGTGCAAAATGTCTCATATTGTCACTTAATTCTCTAACATAGTTTCTTTTAGTTCTTTTCTTTGAAGTCTTTTCCTATTATCCATAGACCACTGAGGCTATTGCTGGCTTTTTTATCCTGTAAATTAGTCGCTTTTTTGTGACTCGTGTTTGGTTTTTATTTCCATCTGTGTGCTGAGGGTGGCACCTGGGGCATGCTAGGCAAGCACTCTACCACTAAGCTGTGTCTCCAGCATTCCAGGTTTCAGAAGACCAGTAGCTACTCCCATAGGTTGGCAGGACCCACTGCTCCTTATGCCTCTCTGTGCAGTGCAGAGGACAGAGGGCTCTGCTTCCTGGAGGGCCCGAATCACAGCACCTGGTTTCTCTCCCCAGGATATTGTTGCTACCATCCAGGCCTCCTATTCCAAGAAAAAGCTCTTCTTAAGCCTTGTGGATTTCCAGTATGTCTTCTGGTTTGGAGGAAGAGGGTGGACTCGGCAAACATGTCTTGGCCCTGTATGGTCAAGCACGGTGCTGGGACCTAGGGGTGGGGGGTGTGTGTGGCCAGTTCCTTTGAGAACTTGGGAGTATCTGCAAGGAGAGAAGAGCCCTCCCTAGTGTCAGCATCTGGAAGAAGAAACATCAGTATGGAGAGAGGGCCTGGCCTGATCAGTACAAAAGCTGGGTGGCTGGAAGGCAAATATAAAGAAGGTTCTGAAGGGTGGAGGCCTTGGACATAAGAGAACACTGAGAGTGGAGAATGTTGTTGGTTGGAGCCCAAAGGAGGGCTATTTCCAACCCCCTTTTTTCTTTGTGTATGTGGCTGGGTACTGAGGATGAAGCCAGGGATCTTTCATTTGCTAGGCAAGTATTGAACTGATGAGTTATGCTTCACTGTGTATTCCAAGCTGGCCAGAAGCCAGCTTGGAATCCTTCTGCCTCAGGCTCCAGTTCTAGGTTATGGATATTTGTCAGCATGTTAGGCTAAGATGGGGCTGTTCTAACTTTGCATTTTCTTCTCCTCTCTTGATTTCAGGATTAAACCAAAGACTACCTCCAACATGGCTGAGGTAGGTAGTCTCAGAAGAAATAAGCTCTGGGGAAAGACAGGAAAAGACTGTAAAAGAAATTGGACAATAGGACTCCCCTGGGGTTCTTGTATAACCTTTCTCCTGCTCTCTGGCCAGAGGAAATGTTGTTTTTGCAGAAATGGGATCAGAGCTGACTTAAATGAGAAGGTGGGAGAATACTGGATAGGTAGCCTTTCCCTTCTGTGGGATGAGAGAAAAACACTTGCCTAGAAGGAACCTCTGGGAAGGAGCAGAGGGTCTGGGCTCAGATGACATTCTTGTGGGCATGTGAATGAGTGCTTGTCGAGGCTCTGTGGCCTCATGGGTCACTCCTGTGTCCTGAAGGGCACTCACTATGGGCCTCTGATTGACAGAGCTCCGAGTCCATCCAGAACTTCCTGCAGTTGATGATCACAACAGTAGGCATCCCCGAGATCATGTCTCGTAAGTGCAGGCTCCAGGAAAGGATGGGGTGGGTGTCTGGCTTCATCTTGTCCCCACTTCTAGTTTGTTCATTGCAGAGGCCTTTCCCAAGCAGAACCTGAAGTACCTCTGGTTCTCAAGCCCGTTGGGTGGCCTCAATCTCTTCCCAGGTGACAAAGTGATTCTGGCTCTCACTGAGAGCATTGCCTCTGCCACCTGACTGCTGGCTAAACCTACTTTAGGAACCCAGGTCTCATCCAGGTGTGGTGATGCACACCTTTAATCTCAGTGCTTGGAAGGCAGAGGCAAGTAGATCTCCATGGGCTTGAGGTCATCCTGGTCTACATAATGAGTTCTAGGACAGCCAGGGCTATGTAGAGAGACCCTGTCTCAAAAAAAAATAAAAATAAGAATACAGGATTCCCAATGGCAACTGGATATGTCAGAAAAAATCCTGACAGCTTGGGGGCCACTTAGTGGGAGCCTAGACAAGCCTCAGTTTCCCTTCCCCGAGAACATCCGATTTACTGATCCCTGGATTCCCGGTGAACCTTGACATTGTAGGATCTCTTTCCATTTGTAGTCACTCCAATGGTAGCATCTCACACAGGGTTGTGCAAAGAGCACCTTACAAGAGGACCTGTGAGGACCTGTGTTCCTTTCCACACAGGGAAGTTTAGTTGGCTGCACCTTCATTTGAATATCTTCTATCTACATGGCTTTGGTAGACACAGAAAGAAGAGAAATTGGACTTAACCTGACTGAGTGTCTTGGTCTCGCTCAGCCTCAGTTTCTCCCATCAATATGATGATGCTAAAACTATAGGGGAACTGGGTATGATGGTGCAGGCCTGTAATGACATCTATTTGGGAGGCTGAGGCAGGAGGATTGCAAGAACAAACCCCTGTCTGAGTTTGTTCAGGAATTTGTGGGGCAACTTAGTGAGACAGAGGAGAGGAGGGGAGGGATGGGGAGGGGAGGGGAGAGGGGGAGAGGGGAGAGGAGGGAGGGGAGGGGAGGGGAGAGAGAGAGTGGTATTGTGAGGCCCCAGGTTCAATCACCAGTACTATAAAAACTAAAAGAACAAATCAATAACACAGATGGTGAGATAGCTGGACAGGGAGACTTTCCCTGTGACTGTGAAGTGCACGGAGAAGCTTAGGATTTGAGGAGTGACCACCAGGGAGCGACAGCTGCAGCAGGGTGGTTGAGCCAGGCTCACAGAACACCATCAGTTCCAACCCGAGGCCTGGCCCTGCTCCCTAAGAAGAGCTGATTTGGCTCCCTCCCCTGCCTAGGGCTGGAGGTGGCATTGACAACCCTCATGAACAGCAAAGGCCTGGACCTTTTCGACATCATCAATCCTGAGATCATTACTCGTGACGTGAGTATGAAGTCATCTCTAGCCCCATCTCTTGGGCAGACATAGTGTTCGTGTTTGATTTCTATTGCTGTGATAAAACATTCTGGCCAAAAGCAGAGGAGGAGATGTTTATTTTAGCTTACAGGTTACAGTCCATTGCTGGGGGAAGTCAGGGCAGGAACTTGAGGCAGAAACCATGAAGGAATGCTGCTTGCTGGGTCACTCAAGCTCATTCTAAGGTAACTCTTATATAGGCCAGGACTGACTACTCACCCAGGAAATGGTGCTGCCCACACTGTGCTGGGCCAGCTTACATCAATTAACAATCAAGACATCCCCACCCCATACACATACCCAGATATGTCCACACGCTAACCTGATCTAGACAATTCCTGGTTGGGATTTCATTCAGATGACTAGAGACTATGTCAGCTAGATAGCCATCTTGGAGTGTTTGGTAGCTACTAGAAAGCAGCTCTCTCCTGGTGGCTCAGGAGCTAACATAGCCTGCCCCTATCTCCTGCAGGGCTTCCTGCTGCTGCAGATGGACTTCGGCTTCCCAGAGCACCTGCTGGTGGATTTCCTGCAGAGCCTGAACTAGGAGGCTTTACAAATGGAGGCTGATGGTGCTGGGATCAAAGGCATGCACCCAACTCATAATGGAATAGAAGCATCCAAATGCTGGGGTCTCTTGTGTGGGGCTCAGAGTGGGGACAGGGAGATGGGAACTGGCTCCCTGCTTCCTGGATTATTAAGGTCTACTGCCATTAAATGCCCTGTCCAGAATCTGAGAATGTCCTTCTTAGGAAGGGGGACAAGGGGGCAGAGCATGGGAGAGACTCATCTTACCCATCATACCTATGTGTGGCTGCCCTTGGCCATCACTGGAGATTTGGATGAACTACAAGACGCCTAGTCCACTTTCTGAGAGAATGTTTCTCACCTTTATTGTGGAGCAGCCTTATATACAAACTTACAAAAACCCCAGGTCAAAGGGTTCACAACAGGATATTGATCCCAATGGGGGTGAGGTTAAAAAAAAAAAACCAGAAGGTACCTATGGTTATGCTGGAAAACAACTCTTAAAGACCCCGTGGGGGCTAGGTCCCAACACCCATGTGCTGAGTCAACCTGTGACAATGCCCCTCTGGTAGGTGCCCCTACTTGTAGCCTTCCAGAGACATCTAGCCTCTGTGAAATCTGTGGACATCACCCCCACCCTCTAGCAACTACTTTCCTGTCTCCCATAGTACACATGCACAACTCAAGGCCCTTGATTCAGACTGGAAGCCTGAGGGACAGACACCAAGACATGTATAACACATCCATCATTGCAAGACACATATTCCAATCTGGATACAGAGTAGGAAAGGCAATGTGCTGGGTGGGGTCTGTGAGTAGTTCAGAGACTGGGTGAGCAGAATACCACAGTGGCAGACTTGTTACAGTGATATCCCAGGGAGCCACCCAAGCAGCAGGGACTCCTGCCTGAGATATCATCAGATGCACAGAGGGAACGCTCCATTCCAGCAGGTGTCCACTCCCCCTACAGGATACAAAGTCCCGATTGGTAAACCTGGGTGAAGTGCTCAAAGCCTGGCTTAGTTACTTTGACGGACAGCAGGCTTTCCTACCAGGGAAGATCACAACGAGGTAGAATCCATACCTGAACACACACCTTCATCTTCTAACAGCCAGGGACAGAGGGACTACTTAAGTCCCATTGTAAAGGCTGAGCAGGACTTTACTAAGTAGCCATATGAGAAAAGGTGCTACAGCCACAGCAGGCATGGGGGTCGGGAAACATTCATTCACTACCTTCCTTGGCAACACAGTAATCACTTTGTTCACTGCCCTCATCGTTTTCATTGTGCTGATTTGGCCCTAAATCCCTGAGCACATGCACCCCAAAACCATATCTGGTCAGAGAAGAGGATTTCCAATTCTGCCCCCTCCCATCAGTATGAGGGTTGACAACCTTTTGTTCCCCACCATCAAAGCTCCCATCCCTTCCTCTGACTAACTTCCCTCCTGTGCCCAAATGGAGTTTTTTTTTATTTTTTATTTTTCCAAATGGAGTTTCTGACTTGCCCTCTGTGCCATGTGGCTCCCACACTGCAGGGGAGGGAGGCAGCAAGTGAAGAGGATGGGAGAATCCCAGGTAGGTAAGGAGCACAGGGGCCTTGTGCTGGTCTAGCTTCTCACAGAAGAGGAAGCTAGGGTCTCCGAATAGGCAAATTAATTCAACTTTAACGCTGAAGAGAAAGTCCATCAACAGACTTCTAGCCTCCCCGTCCTCGCCACCCCTAGGCTCCAGCACAGAGGGCTCTTCCATCTCAAGCTTGGAAGGTTTTTCTCCAGGCACGGTCACTGCACTGGCCCAGTGGGATGGTTTGTCCTGCTGTCTGACACCCTGCAGAACACACATTGTGGCAGTATTGAGAAGTGGGGCCTTGAGAAGCAACTGGCTGTTAAAGAGGAGACTCGCTGATTCTCAGGGCTGTGAGCTCCTGATCAATCAGGAATGGATTGGTGACTCCCAGAGCAGACTGTTAGAAAGCTGGGCCACCCCTTGTCTTCTGTTCCTTCTATCTGTGCTCTGTGCTTATTTTTTTTCTACTGGGAGTTGACACAGTGTGATACTTTCTCCAATGCCATAGACTAAGACAGTGGGTGGTTCTCAACCTATGGGTTGTGGCCATCAGAAAGCACATATTTCCAATGCTCTTAGGAATGGAGACACTGCTCAGTAGCAAATTGCAATTATGAAGGAGCAACAAAATAATTTTATGGTTGGAGGTCACCACAACATGAGGAACTGTATTAAAGGATCACAGCTTTAGAAAGGTTGCGAGCCTCTATAAAAGGCTATTGAGTTTACTGTGAGACAAGTAAACTTGACTTTTAAAAATGCATGTGTGTATGCATTCATGAATCTATGTGTTCATACATGTGCAAATATATATGTGTATTTGCCTGCATGTAGAGGCCAAAAGGTAAACTCATTTATCCAGAGACATGCAGTCTACCTCTTGTGACACCAGGTCTCTCACTGGCCTGGAACTCACCAATTAGGCTAGACTGTCTGGCAATGAGCCCCAGGCATCTTCCCTCAGCCCTCACAGCCTGAGCTCACTCTGTCCCTGTTCTCTTCTGCCCTTGGATTGCAGAGCAAGAGTCTGACACCAGAAGCAACCAGGAGCAAGGGGAGGGTACTTGAAAGTCCTCCCCCCAAAAAATTGCTTCCTAGGGGCTAGAGAGATGGTTCAGCCATTAAGAGCACTTGCTGCTCTTGCAGATTTGCCTCTAAGCACCTGCTTGGTGGCTCACAACTGCCCCTAACTCTAATTCCAGGGGATCCAAGGCCATCTTCTGTTCTCCAAGGGTACCAGACATGCACGTAGCATACATGCACACATACATACGTACATACATACATACATACATACATACATACATACATACATACAGGCAAAACACTCATATACATAAAATAAAAATAAATCTTAAGAAAAGAAAGAGTTCACCAGCCCCAGATGTCTAAGGGGAATCCCAGGCTTTACAATGTTGCCCTCTAGGGCAGCCACACAAGTTAGATGACACAGTGGATCAAAACTCTCTTAAGGGGCCCCAAAAAGCCTAAGGCCTTCCCTTAATGCCACAGAGCAAAAAAACTGTGAGAGTGTGCCACCCAGACAGTCCCCCTGCCCTCCCCAGAAATATTAGACTTACTAAAGGCATTCTGAGAAGTCCTTTAAGGTCTTGCTCTCACAAGTCCCACCAGCCTAAGACCCTGGAACACATCCCTGAGCCCTAATGGAAAGCAGATGTTATAGCCCAGTGTCCTTCTCTGTCATTGCAGAACAGGTCTTCAGGCCTGTTCTGGTGTGTGTGTTGGGGGGGAACTTACAAGTCACCAAAAGGTGCCAAGAGAGCATGTAGCAGGATCAATGGCAGCCCGAAGAGCAGAGGCTTGTTAGAACTGAAGCAAACAGCCAGACTCTCTCACAAGCCTACTCTCCACCCCACCCACCCCCAGTCCAGAAGTTCTGCATGGACCAATGTCTAATGATCAGAACAATTGTGGCCGAGGCCAGACACTGGCAGACCTGATTAGAATCCATTGCCTGAAGGCTATGCCTTCTGCTTCTTCTAGACAGCAAACAGTACTTCCCAGGGCCAGGGCCCTGAGATTATATCTTACCATCTCAGCTGCTGGCCCTAGGGTGGGTTGGGACTAAGGCTTTGGGTAGATGAGCAGGATGTTTTTGCCAAACAAGGGACCCTTCCTACCTCCTTGGGGTGTGGGGACCCACTTGTCTCACAGTCACTAAAGAGATGCATTTTTTTCTTTAAAGTTTTATTGTGTTATATATATGAGTGCACTACCTGCACATGCAACTTTATGCTGGAAGAGGGCATTAGATCCCACTACAGATGGTTGTGAGCCACCATGTGGTTGTTGGCAATTGAATTCAGGACCTCTGGAAGAGCAGCCATGGCTCTTAATGGCTGAGCCACCTATCCAGCCCCACCCCCAAGGAATACTTATCAGTAAGTCCCCAGTAAACTGTACTCTGTCCACGCCTGGGTCTATTCACCTTTCTTCAGTTTCCTAGCACCTTGGGGGCAGTTCTCACACGGGGACCTAGTTTTCCAAAGCAGATAACCATGTAAGCTTCACCAGAGGACTGCGTGCACTTTGGCCAAAGGAAACTGGTGTCGATGGAGGTCTCGGGCCATTGGTTGGATTGTTGTGAAAAGTCTTCCCCTGGGGGAGATGTGAACATCTATCACTTCCTCCTAAGGTCCTACTTACAAACCAAAATACCGTTTCACCAGTTTACCCTAGGGAACCAATGAGTTTATTGGGCTTACTTACAGAACACTGGTGACCCCAAAGCGGCTGTCCTGCAAAGTCTTCACCTAGCATGGATGATGGCTTCCCCATAGCTGCATAGGGGAAGCCTTCTCCCCTAACGCCCCCCACCCCCAGTCTTTATACTCTTGCCCCTTCTAGAGACCTTAGGCAATTAGGGCAGAATTGCCTGCAAGTGGCTGGGAGGAGTGGCCAGAAACTCGGGTGAGGATCCAGTGACTCTCCCTGTGTCCTGATCTCGTGAAGATGGCAGTACTTTGGTTTATAGGGTAATGGCTTATAACACAGGGTGAGTCTGGGAAAACAGTTCACCCAGAGCCCTTCTTGGCAGGCCTTGTTCCACAACAGTGGAAAGGGTACTGGTCAAGTTCCAGTTCTCATTTACATGTGACCTTTAGCTCTCACTTTAGCTTTCTGGATCTTCGCCTTGTACCTAGTGAGATGTTAACCTCTGTCCTGCCCTTTCATGGAGCTTTGTGGGTTTTAGTGCATCTAAATACAGCCTGAGTTTGTCTCTCTGGCTAACTGTCTGTGTCCACTGACACCCTCTATCAGCACGGAAGGGTCTAGGTCCAGCAACACATAACTGTTGGAGCAATCTGAACTGAGCCCTACTTTCGGACTGTAATTCCCCTCACACATACAGATGACAGCTCACCTTGTACCACAGGCCAGGACTCCACCCTCTGACAATAGGAAACGGAGGCTGGCTAAAATAAAGG